AAAGTTCTTAAAAATTAAAATAAAAAAATAATTTTGTTATTATTAATTACTAACAATTATAACTTTTTTTTGGAAATCGCCGCGTCGCTATAGATAAGTATATCACAATTAGGTTGGCACCTACTCATCTATATCACTATCATTTGCAACCTTTTCTAAAATAATTTATCACATATTTACAGTTAAAAAATAAAAAATAAAAATTATAAATAACTTTCTACTCCTTATCTCATATTATCGACTCATTAAGTCTATCTTTAATATTAGCAATCCAGTCGATACCTTGAGTTCACTTCTCGTACCTCCATCAATCTTGTAGTCATATTACCACCTCTACAGTAGATAGATCCAACGATGTTCTGTGGTCGTCGATCAAACATCCTCGTGTGCTGAAGGGGGATTCAGAAGGTACGTTAAAAAATTATATTGTTGGTAAGTCACGAACCATGATGAAAAGTACATGATATAAAACTGTTTCATATATACACTCATCACTATTACAAAATGTCAAAATCAACATTATTTTGATGTTTAACTAAAGGTGCAGCTAAGTAATGTTCAATTGTAGAAATGTTTCATGTTGAGGATCCTAATCCACGACTATTACCCACAAATGTTAGCCTCTCTATCATCAATTGCCTATCAAAAAGCTTACATTTGCCATGTCTAGAGATTGTAGAACCTATAGGTTGAGGTATACTTAAACTATATCTGCTTGCATACTCATCAAATAATCTTTGACAATAATATTTAATAATAATATGATGAGTAAGAACAGTAATAGTCTGACCGCTACCCATTATATTACTATGTTCTCATAGAATGAATTTAACAAACTTTGATGGCCAATATACTTCAAGTATGAATTAATAAGAATCCTTATATCAAAATTAATAGTAATATGCCTAAAATACTTATCAAATTTACTTATCATTTCAAAAATCATGCTTGAAAAATAAGTATCCATGAAATATGTATTAAAAAGTTTGAATATTTAAAACTTGTAAAGCAGCTCGAGTAATAGTTGGATAATAACAACTAGATAATAATAATAATAATAATAATAATAAAACTAGAAAATAATATAGTACTTTATAAAAAAAAACTTGTAGCATCTCTTTTATAGAACTTATAGTTGCACGCTTATCATCAGTTATTCCATACATACTACCAGAGCTAGAACTAGAAATATAGAAAGAAATAAAATATTTATAATTTTTTTATATTCTATTGTTACATTTAACATTGCATAAGATTAACTTAGATTTTATATTTTTTTTTCTTTTACAGAATTATTTCCATCTTTTAAGTATTTGTTCAGAAGCATGATGAGCATAAGCTATAACCCTAACTTTTTTTTATCATTAGTTTAACTCTACTAAATACACTTTGAACAATTAAATTCAAAATATGACACATGCATCTAATATAAAAAATATCATCATGCCATGATAATAGTAAAGATGATTTGATATAATATACAACTACATTATTGTTACTTACACTATCTAGTGAAAGAGAAAATGTTTTTTTAAAAATTTCTAACTTAAAAGTTCTTCCATTATTAAATTTGTAATATTTACACCAGTATGTGAATATTCAAAAGAAATAAAAGAAACAACTTTTTTAAATATTTGCCAAGTGCCACCAATCTAATGTGATATGATACATAAATAACCAGTTTGTGCTTTAAATGTCTAAATTTTAGAAGTACAGCTTACGCTTTGAAAATAAAAAATTATTTTTCCCTCACGATAATATTTTAAAATATCACGTTAATAAGATTAACAAGAAATTTTTTAAAATGCGGGATAAAAATCATCTCTAATCGTATCTTCAAATTCATTATCTTCTACTAATTTAAAAAGAATGTTTTAAAAATAATAAACCTGAAGACGTATTTTTTAGCTTTAATTACGTCGTAGTTCCATGAAACGAGGCTATTAGAGGAAGATAATTGAGAGAGTAGTGATTGAAAGATGTCTCTTTGAGACATTGCTTGCTCTCCATTGTTTTTTTTTTTCAAATAGCGTTTGAGGTGGTTAGTGTCGCTCTTATGGTGAGTTTCAAATATATGGCTTCATAACGCATATTTGGCCTTTTGGGTGAGAAGTTTGTCATGTTGATCCCTGATGACTTCTATCTTCTCAAAGAAGTTTCATACATTGGATCTCGGCCTCTAGGAGCTCTAGATGTTGGATCATCGCCAGATTTGAAATCAATATTGGTGGTAGTAGGAGTAGATGTATGATTCATGTTGGGAGTTGGATTTTTCTCTTTATAATCGGAGGAGGAAGCTAGTGGAATTAGAGAATTACAGAGTATCAAAAAAGTATAAGAGGAGAATAAGAGAGTATTAAAGAGAAGTAGATGAGTTTTGGATGAGAAAAATAAATTAAAGCCCCCTCTATTTATAGAGGTAACCCCCAGCCCGATTACCAAAATACCCTCGAATTTTGACCCTTAATTTTTGACCGTTTTGAGGGTATCTTGGTTATTTGACCAAAAATAGTCGTTATGGGCCATTAACACTGCTTGAACCGGGCTGGGTTTTGGTTGGGCCGGGTTCGGGCCATCCGTTCTAACGAGTACTTTTTTAGCCGTTAGACCGGGTCCAAATCCGGGCCGGGCTGGGCTTCTGAGCCTAGTCCGGTCCAACGGCTAATTAAGGAGATGTTATAGGCTCCCTAGTTTGGTTAAGTTCTTTGGCCCGATACTATGGAAGCTGGGCCGGGCTAGGCCTGACCCAAGTAAAGCTTGGTCGAACCAACCCGGGGCCAGGCCCAGAGCCTTGTCTGGTTCAGTTTTTTGAGCTTTTTCTGGGCCCGGACCGCATGCCCAATTGAATAACTCTACGTGACCCCTGGGCCAAAAATTATTACATGTAGCGCAATATTATGTATCCATTAGAAAATTACCTCAAAGAAAAGACTATCCCTTAATTTGTTGAAACTTAATATTAAGTAAAATGAATTGAAGAGTTACACGAGGGAAGAAAGCAGGAAGAGCTCGACACTTTTTTTTATTAAGTAAAAGCGACAGGAGCCCACAGGGCCACATCCCATTAATAAGAGTCTAACGAAACAATTTTAAAATACATAAGAGACAAAAGCGAGAACAAAAGCCGAAAGCGATTGTGGCGAAACAGAAACCTAATCCTTGGCCTACGTTTTTTGTCACATGGAAGAAAATAAATAGGAAACAAATAAGGAGTTTTTCTCCAACTTTATCTTTATAAGTATATTTTTACTGGACATTTATCTCCCTTTCTCTAGTCTCCTCTTCTCCAAGATAATAATAATGTTAAGAGAGTCAAAATAGGTTTGTTTCCGCGAGCTTAATACATTTATTATCCTTAATTAGTTGTATAATATAAAGAATTATTGCGGAATGATATATTGGGCTTCTTTTAGGAAGGATGAGATAGTTCTTCATGCGGGAATTTGATCTGTAAGTGCATGTATTTTCATTATCCTTTTTTCGTCAAAATTCTCCCAATTCTTTCAAAGTATCTAATAATTATTTTTATCCGCACATCATGTAGTGGCAGAGCTGCATAAAGCGAAGGGTGGAGAAATGCCTTCATTAATTATTATTTTAAGCTAGCCTTAAAAAAAATGATATTTCGCTTTAATATACACTTTAGGGGTATACATTTCTTGATCCAATTTTTTTGATATTTATCTAAACACATACAAACCTTACAAACAAAGTTTCCTCAAATTATAACAATCAACAACCAACTTTACTATCTAGATAGATCATTTATATTGCACTGTTTATCCAATTTTTTGATGTACAAAGAACTTTTCAAACTTGGTTTTTGTGTTCTTTAGCTATGAATCTACTTTAAGGTAGAATCAATTTAATATATAGTATCAGGTACTAAGTTTGAATGGTATGTGCTTGTCTCTAAATCCCTCCCGAAATAGTTTTGATTTTATTCAATGATCCGTGCAAATCTTATGCTGTTATAACCTCTACGTGAAGTCGTTTCTTATTATACTTTACATCATTCATGATCTTTATGTTTTATAAATAGGTTTCAAAAATTATTGTGCATCAATATCATAGACATGATGATGTGTTTACAACTTCTATATATACTGTTTTGTTTACATCCAAAACGAACTTTTTGTTTCTATGCGTTTGGTGAGTTTTGTATTGAAAAATGACATCAATAAGCTAAAAACCCTATATTTTTTATCAAATACATTATTTGTTTGTTATTTTTCTTGCCATGAATTTAGAGTCGCTACTTAGGATAGATCCATCAAATGGGATTCCCCAAAATGAATAGAAATCCTATCAAAACCACTACAATAGAAGCGGGATGGCTTCTACCATAGAGAGAGTAACAATAATTCTCAAACTAACCATCTAACCGACCATGAATGATATAAATCAACTCATTTTATGAAGATGTTCTGATTGAATCTCTAATCCTCAAAAATTATGCTGATTTCATCCAAATTTGTGATTTTAGTCATATGGCCTTAATAAAATGCATGCGCAACCAACCAAACCAAACAATATTTGGTTGGATTTTATCCCTCATGCAAATACACTTTAATATCACTTACAAACAAACAAGATTTATAGCAGTGTTATTCTAGATCTATAGCAAATACAATCCATGGGCCAAAAAGTTCCTTAGCCTACCTAACAAAATTTTACTCTATCTAAGGTTCTAGAAAAGAACTAGTACTAAATGAGATTTTGCAACCACAATTTGCATTGCCTCTGAAGTTTTCAAGGCATCTCCCCAACCAATTTCAAGAAGAGAAGCGCGTAATCCTAAGGACAGGTTTTTTAAAAGGAACTTTTTTTCAATTTTATATAGCAAAAACGGCCTCATCAGAAAATAATCTGCAAAACCGACCCCTTTCTTTGGAAAAAAACTTCACGACTATAAAACCGATCCTTTTCCGAAAAAAAGGGTCGGTTTTGCAGATTATTTTCTCATGAGGTCGTTTTTGCTATATAAAATTGAAAAAAAAGGTCCTTTTAAAAATTTGTCCTAACCCTAACTGCAAGCATAAATCAGTCCTCTGGCCCTCTCTCTTTACACGTGAACCAGTAACACATGTGAACCAGTAACAAACACCAAAGCAAGCACAAGATAGTTTTGAGTCCCCTGTCACAAAAGTTCCCAACCCCTGTAACCAACCAGATTTTCTTCAGGTCATAAATTTCTTATTATAATCTCAACCTAACCAACCTCACTATAAAACTAACTCAATAGACTTAATATTTTACAAAGACAGTCTAGATATGACTTGGGAAAAGCTGACATAAGAGACTCAATACAGTGTGAACATGATATATGGGTCTCTTATAGTCCAAGCCAAATTACAATCATTACATATAAGAGTTGTTTAAGCGTCTGAACTACTATGTTAATAAATACACAGAAAGTTCTCCCCTCTATCAGTATAAATAGCAGCCAAAAGTCTTGCTGAGTTGTTTGAGAAGAGCCTACAATGGGAAACCAGGCAACCGAACTTTTCTTCGTCTTCATGAACTATGATCCTGAGTATGAGCGTCTACTCAGAGACCGGTTAGCTCTCTTCTTCTTTCCAGTATCCTTTTTCTTTTCGTAATGTTTTGGCAATAATGTATGTTGATGCCTAACACCATGGCAGATCGAAGAAAGGAGCAGACGAACTCGACGCATATCTTAGCAACAAACACAACCAGCTGCTAGCGAGGCTTCTACAGCCAAACACCTACAAGAAGAGAAATTCATTAGCCATTGTCGATGGCTTCTCCGTTGAAGTAACTCAACAGCAGGTAATGCCTCGTGCTAATCTCAATTTAATAGCATTGAATAGGTGATTATATATGATTCAACATTTTTGTTGTAGGCAGCTGTTCTGAGATCAGCAAAGGAAGTGAGGCTCGTTGAGAAGAACCAGGAGCTTGATTAATGATTCAGAGACTTTTGACTTGTTTTTTATAATAATAATTATAGTGTTGGGTGACTGTAGGAAGCTGTAAATTTGCAATCTCTATGCATATTAGTGTGACTTTTCGCACATTGTTTTCAAACTCACCTCTCTAACAAGCTTATCTCCGGTCTTAGCAAATATTTTTCTCTTTATTTAAAGGCCACTCTGCCCCCAAGGTTCTCTTGCTGTGCTAAAATCAAAATTTTGACTTCTGATTTTCAAGTAAGGACTCGTTAGTTTCAGCTTCAAGAAACATGATTATGAATTTTAGTTAAGTATCTAAATCAACTTGAGGAAGAATGGTTCATATGAGAACATGAACTTTAAATCATAAGTAGTCATATATCGGGTAAAAAAATGTATTCTATTGTTTTTTAATATTTCAACTCCATCAACCAAAACCCTTGAAACCAAATCCTTATCATTGTGGAACTGGGATTGTCATATCCATTACCTTTGCTCAAAGGAAATGCTCTACACAATAATCTAACATATGGAAAGAAAATTGTAATGTACAATGCACGTACAAGATATCGTTGCTCACCTTTATGGAATACTGAGCTATCTATGCCTACAAGTAGAGCTTTGTCCAAATGACTAAGCACTATAAACAGCTGAGTCCATTTGTCGTTCTTTAGTATTTTGGTTCAAGGAGCAGAAACTTTTCATAAATGACATGGAATCGCTACAGTCAAGATAAATGGTGCAATATAGCCAGCGGCTTGTATAAAGCTATCTCTTGGGAGATACCTCTCACCTGAGGTAAATGCTACATAATCCAAAGAAAACACTGAAAATGTGTGTCTGCTCCTTGTCATGAATCTGATCGATGTTTAATTCTGCCACAAGATTGCAAGAGCTGATTTGGACCCATTATGATGCTTTGATATCTCTGTTGAAATGGCTGTCCTCATTTTGAAAACTGTCACCAAACAGGTATCCTTGATACTGAGGAGATAACTAGGTTTTTGTGTAATTTTGGAGGAAAAAAACAAAAAATGATACATAGAATTTTTGTCCAAATCCCAAATTCTCAGAAGCTTGTAGTGGTGGAGGAAACATAACAATGTATATGGGTTTGTCCAATTTCCGAATTCTCAGAGGCTTGCTTTTTCTTGTCTTGGTTACTTTTGAGGGAATCTAAAATGAGAAAATGCCTGCATGAAGCGAAGGAAAAATCTGGAGATGATTGAGATAGTGATTTGAATCCAAATAGACTCAAACCTAAAGAAAAACCAGTAATTTTAAAATAATAGAATTAATACAATTAGGTAGTCACTTGTAAGTTGTAACCATCAATGTGCACCTACAATGATTAAATAAAGGAATAATCATACAGTGTATCCAACATAAGGCAAGTATTTCTGAAATCATAGACCGACGCGATCAACTTGTGTCTGGTAACGAAGCAAGATCACAGGGTAATACTTTTGAAAACATAATACAAATGCCAACAATGAATAAGTATGCCTATGACAGTGCTTTTTAAGATGTCAGATGATCACGTACTACTCTCTCTCCAGAATGCCCATCATTTGGCTATGGACTTTCGGTTTTTTCGATTAGCTGGACTCTTATCTAATTGGTTATACATGCTGCTCTTTCTTATGTATTGGTGAATATATTTTGCAATTGTAATTATTTTAGTGAAATTCTCTTTACTTGAATTTGGCACATCTGTCCTGCCCTTATTTTCTTTTCCCAAAATAAGGAGAGGAAGGAGTTAGTTTTATCTTCAGTGTCCAGGTATGAGACAGGGGTGCCAAATTTAAATAAATCAATAAAAGAACAAAATAGAAAGTGGGTGGATTGTGGGGGCAGCTGTCACCTCTCTTGGGTATTATTAATATGACTCGTTAAATCTAAAAAAAAACTTCCTAACTGAATTCACATGAATGGAGATAACAAACAACTTTATTTTAAACTCTACGACATGTGGTCAAGGGCAATCTAAATTAATAACTAACTCAAATTAAACCAAATAAAGGTAACACTGCATAGCATTGTCCACAGGTCCCAGTCTGTCAAAAGCTCATCCATCTTGTAAGTATTAAGGGAAAGATTTACCTAAGGGCAGATAAACAGATGGATGGAAGATCTGATTACTATTAAAACACCTAATTCAAAGAGCAAAATCAAACAGAGACATGTATAGAAAAATAGAACTTTCTGGATGATGACCTGAAGGTTTCTCAAGACTGCTAAGATCTTTACAGTATTGAAATGAAAACTATAAAGAGGTGGGATCATGACAGGATCTTTATTGCACAAGTGAACCTGGGATGTTTTGGGTTAATACTCATCAATTTTCAAAGGTGAAGGTACGTAAGCAATCCATCATTATGTAAAATAATTTAATTGTTGAGAAAAAAAATATGAGGCAGGCAAATCTAAAAGCCAGATTTTTGAAGAGGAAGTTGATTTCACATTGTAGGTTATAAAACAAAATCTCAGGTCAGCAACCTTGAATCATTGAATTATACCATGCCTCAGACAACAATATTAAAGCCTGTATCCCAAATCCTTACTGCTAGCAACTTGACCAGAGGCTGTCCTTCAACTAAAAAACTTCTCTTCCTCTTAATTAGCACATTCATTGGTCCCTCCATCATATGCATGTTCAAACCATGTCAACAAAATCTTTGTCCTTGTATTATTAACTAGTCATCTCAAATTCTCAACCAGTCTTCTTCAGAATGCACTAATCTGATTATCTCATGTACATATTACCACTCATCCATAAGATTGTCTTTTTTGCTTGTCAATTTCTTAACATGTTTCTTGATTGCTAACACTTTGATTTATCATTGTTGGTCATATAGATGTCCTATGAACATTCATGAATATTCAATTGTTACATAGTGATTCAGATGCACTTATTTCACTTCAGTATCTGGTTTTATTCCCCAAAAGACTCAGTAACAGTGATGACTGTTTGATCAAATGTAACAAAAACACCAATGAACGATTCTGAACCATTAAGAATAGCCATACACTTCCTTCTTCTCCTGCATATGTGTCACTTCCTTCTTCTCCTGCATATGTGTTTCATTCTATAAATTCTAACATGTTTAGATTCAACTGGATTTGTAAACATGTGTTGCATGTGTAAAGAAAACTTCTCCTTCAAATTAATATTTTTTATTCATATGATTTTTGTTAAGGATGTGATCCAAATTAGAATTTTAAATTTTTACTGCTAAGATAATATATGAAGTTAATTATGTAACTATATTCACATTCTCCAAGACAATACGATCATATATTCAGGACCGACAAAAACATTTATTATAGTATTTTGATAATAAAACGGAAGGGCTGTTTTTTGTTAAAATTAGAGTTGCTCAATCACACGTTGCATGTGTTCCTTCCTCCATTATCTCTTCTCCTAACTGGTGCGCTTGTTGCCTCCACTGCACATTCCCAAACCATCAAGAGTTATTTTCTTTCAATTTATTTTCAATAGTAGTAACCACGAATTTCTTACAAATGCACTCATCTCTCATTCTATCTCTTGTGTATTTCACACACATAAACCTAAATCAAAGCAAAGTAACATGCTTGAATGTACAACATAATGCGAATAACACATATATAATAGTTTTTTAAAGATTACCATATTGTACCATATTGAATTCTTCATAATAGCTGAATGCCATAACGAAAGAGCATGCATCTAGCACTATGGCTTGATAGTATATGTTATGACTTAAACCACTAATTCTGTAATGAAGCATATGCATAGGGTACTTTTAAGCCGTTGTTGCCACCAGTCTAGTCATTCGATTAAAAAACTCCTGAAGTACTTATAGTGATACCAACAGTGACAAGGTACTGAGACTGATCCCAACATGTCAAACCTTCTACAATTCAATAATGGATCCAATGCTGAACTCTATTATGATATAAGTCTACACCAATATCACAAAAACAAAAATTTTCAGTAAATCAAATCTACAATTTCTTCTTGTCGACTATTTTTCGTAAAGAGCTAAAAACCATCATAGGAGTCAAAAGTTCTATAGTATAACTATTTGGTTGGTGTTAGAATTAATATAAAACTATAATCCTTGATCCTCACCATAACTTCGGAGTTTTGGTATAATGGTTAGAGGAACTAAATTTAAGATGGTATCAGAGCAACCGAGGTTCAAATCCAACCGGCCACGAATTTAAATGCGGATTTTCTAAAAATTAACACCGCTACGTGAGTCCAGGTTTCAATCCATAAAAAATGGGTGCTCGACCTGCGGGGGCATGTTAGAATTAATATAAAACTATAATCATTGACCCTCACCATAACTTCGGAGTTTTGATGTAATAGTTAGAGGAACTAAATTTAAGAGTTGGAAACAAAAGTTGTGGGTTAAAATCAATATATCAATGCGGTTTATTAAGATAAAAAGGTTAAAGTATTATTGTTTGTTTTATTATTTCGATCAGACAATATAACACAAAGAGATTAATAATCAACCAGTTAATTGTATTATTAACTATTTTTCTTATTGATATAGGTTGCCATATTATATATCTGAAAAACAAGTGCTTTCAACTATGGTAGCCTAAGTTGCATGGAAACGGGCACGGGTACTGGTACGGGTGCGGGTGTGGGTACGGGACACGACAAAACTGTAAAATGTAAGGGAATTAAAATTCCGATCATATTTTTGAGTTTCTTTTATCATATTGATTATCGTGAATTGTAAACTACTCTTTTCTTTTACTAGAATCTAAACGATCCATTAACTATATAGTTTTAAACTTGGGTATGGACTGAAACGAATCCGACCCGTATCTCAATAGTTTCAAAAGACGGATGTGAAGTGTAAGCTCTACGTCCAGGAAGTCTTTGACAAGTGTTTTAAATTAACACATATATCGTATAATTGAGTACATGTTTAATAAATGCATGCATATATTCAAGAAGTGTCCATGAAGTTTGGGTACGGGAAAATGTCGGGTACATGTCCGATACGGGTACGGCTTCATTATAGAAGTACCCGGGTAACATAGATGGTAGCTAAGGTGACTTTGAAGTTGACTGTTAAAAGATGATTCTTTTGACAATTACAATCAGACTCCACTCAGCACACTTTATACATTTCTTTCTTCTTCTTCTTTTCTTTTTTCTTTTTCTTTTTCTATTCCCCAACAGAAAACTAGAAACTTTATTTTTAGTATTTCCAAACTTTAGACATCCTTTTGTATTAGTCATTATTAGCTAATATTAATTGGTCTTGATAGGACCAGATCGGCATGCCTAAAATTCAATATGATATGACCAATCAATATTGGTACCTGTTGATACTCTACTTGGATATTTTGCTACTTATTTTTAGCACTTTGTACTGGAAAGAGCATTATGAAAAGAGCATTAAAGCCATAAAAAAATTATGACACGCATGGTGTAATTAGTGGTTCTCCGCAAAGTACGGACTGAATACTCGCAGGAGCTTCAGAGCAATACTGGTTTTTGCTGCTTCAAGTGGCTTTCCGTAATCAGCTATTCCCCATGTAATTGAGAGTGATTTCTTTTACTCTGTTAGTCTTTTATTGTAAATATTTGAAATTCTTTGATTCGGTGGTTACTTTAGTGAGGTTTTGTGCTTTGTAAACCTGGTTGTTTAAAACCTTTATTATATCATAATTTATATAATATCTGTTAAAGCGGGAACTCTGTTCCATTCATTCTCCCAGAGTTATTCATTGAACCTATATCCTTATCAATTTTATCATATCTACAATATGTACTTGACATCAAGCTTGTGAAAGATCCTATATCTGATTACTTTAGACTCCCTATCGAGACTCTTTAACAAAATGCAGTACCACCATGGCTTACATTCATTATACCACTATGTAAACATCAGTTATTCCTAGAGAATATCAAGTCATCTAAAGTATGTATTCATGTATCCACATATGCATGCAAATGGGATTGGTAAATGCAGAAACATATACCTTTGGTGAACTACGTCCATCTTTGTAAATCATAATACATATACCTCTGGTGTACTACAGTTGTCTTTGTAAATCATAATACAACTATTGACCATACAGAACTGACAAGAAATTCAAATAAGTCAAATTTTTATGAAGCAATGAGTTGACAGTTAGAGAACAGATATAAAGATTGTATCCAATTATAGAGAACTTACCGGTCTTTTGGCAATTGGAAGCAGGATTGTGCATGCTGACATGGAGATTCTGTTCTTCAACTCTTCAGAATGATCTGAAGACAATAACATAATAGATAATTAGATATCGCTCATGAGCCTCACTTCAACTTTGGTCTAACATGTAACAGTGGAATGATTACCAGGAGAGTTGCCAAATGGCTGAAACTATATAGACATCTTGCAAACAGCACTGTAACGATCATCTCATTCCACAGATAAGAGGTGTCTTTCTTGGAGGTCTGAGAGAAAACATATGGAATATTGACTTGACAATAGCTTCTCTCAAAAAAACATTTCAATCCTTTGCTGTAGATCAGGAGGCAAGTACAGAAGACCATGAAATCACATCTATAAATGACCTGCTAATCGAGTCCATGAGAGTAAATTCATTCATCGGTAACCGTTCCTCAAACTGGTGTGCTGCATAAGAACTCAGGAGAATAGAACAATAAGTACCAAAATTCGAACCGAGTCCTCCTAGACCGACCTTTTATCAGGTCACAGCTGAAAAATTCACAACATATTGGTACCTCATTGTCCACTATCTCTGTTAAGTATACTGTAACTGTATTTATCACCTTCTATTCCTCTAGCAGCCATTTCTTCCACCAGATTCATAGCACAATCAAGCTTTCCCACTTTACAAAAAGCATACATAAGCGTGTTGTAGGTTACAGCATTTGGCTTTAGTCCGTTCCTTTCCATAACAAGCAGCAACTCTTTCGCAGCTTTAAAGTTTCCAGTTCCACAAAACCCATTAATTAAGGTATTATAAGTAATTACATCCGGCTTAGCTCCTTCTTCTGTAATATTTTGCAAAACCTTCATGGCCTCCTCCATCTCCCCTATTCTGCAAAACCCAGAAATAAGTACATTATATGGTACAATACTAGTACCCAGTCCTTTTTCTTTCATTTTATCAAATAGATCAATAGCTTCCTCGATTCTCCCTTCCTTACATGAACCATCCATTAATTTACTATATGTGAACTCATTTGGACTCAATCCCTCGACTCCCATCCTATCTAAAAGGCCCATAGCTTCTCGCACTCTCCCTTTCTCACAAAGCCCACCCATCAATGCAGTGTACGTAACTTCATTCGGCCTTAGACCACGTTCGACCATTTCTTCGACCATTTTCACTGCTTCTTCAATCTGCCCATTAAAGCAAAACCCGTGAACTAAAGTTGTATATGTAACAACATTGGGAGCCAACTCCTTCTCTAACATCTCATCAAAAATCTTTTTCGCATCATCCATCTTCTTCTCCTTAACAAAACCACTCATCAACCCCGTATACGTCATCAAATTGGCCCAGACACCCGATTTCACCATCCTAACATAAAGAAGTTGAGCCAGTCTCATCCTACCCTCATTACACAACCCAGCCAACACACAATTGTACGCAATCACACTCGGAACCAACCCAATGCGTAACATTTCAGTAATCAAACACAAACCCATCTCCGACCTCGAAGACCCACATAGAAAATCGATCAGAGTAGAATAAGTCCGGCTATCCGGGCTCGGCCCATTCTCCTTCATCACACTCAAAACCCCAAATGCATCCTCTATCAACCCTTTCCTACAATACCCTTTAATCAATGTATTGCAGGAGACAGTAGTGGGCGATAACTCCCGCCTCGGCATTTCATCAAACAGTTGGCGTGCAACGTGCACGCGTCCAGACTCGCAGTAGCAGTCGAGGATAATGTTCAGGGTTACTACATCAGGGGCCACACCGCTGCAGCGCATTGAGTTGTAGAGAGAGATTGCGCAGTCGAAGCGCCGGGATTTGGTTAGAGATGAGAGGACTCGATTGAAGAAGAGGGTTGAAGGGGGATCGAAGCTTGGGGTTTTGAGGAGAGAGATGGCTGCGTTGATGTTGCCAGAGTTCAAATGGGACTTGATTTGGTCGTCCGCTTTGGCTTTTGGTGAGGAGAGATTGGATGTTGAAGAGGGAGAGAGGAGAGCGAGGTTGTGTAATAGAGAGAAGAGTTTAGGAGTCGAGGGTCGAACACTAAGTTTCCATGAAAAAAGCATTGAGAAATGTCTTTTTGTCAAAGAGGGTTTTGGAAGAGGCTTAAGCGGTGCGGTCACCGTTAGGGGTAATGTGACAAGTAGATCTTTTCGTTGTCTTGTGTAGAAGCAGTGTTTTCTTCTACTTCTTCTTCCCTTTTTTTTTGGCTCTTTTTTCATATTTATATATCTATCTACAAATTGAATATTACACATGTGATAATGACAAACAGACAACAAGCTACGTCGTTAATCCTTTCTGAATTGTAAAACCCAACTTACAAAACACGTACTCAGCTGACATTGTTGTCGCAACATTCCTATTCCGCACTTAAATGCCTCAATATAGTTTAACTCACTTGGCACTTACGTACCATCATTTATTTTTTATGGCATTTATATACCCTAAATTGTTTAAAATTGAAATATTAGTACCTTTTATAATGTGAACATTTTTACTCATATATTCTCTTATGACACTCAAAATTAATTAGAATGACGTTGGTATAAATGAGGGTGCTCTTGTTCCAACTTTAAACAACTTATGCTATGTAAATAAATGAGGGTGCTCTTGTGCCAACTTTAAACACCTTATGCTATGTAAATGGCTAAATGCCCACGAAAAACATGTGAGGTTGCATCAGAGCACAGTGAGTAAAAGTATGAGATATTTAAGTGTTATTTAGCCTTAATGTTTTTAGTAATCCATATTGGAACCTCCTAACTATTCGGGTCATCAGAAATGAGTTTAGTCTTAACTTTTTCAATTGACAAAATAGATGCATGCCTCTCTCATGTAGGTGAAAAAAACAATTTAAACATGTAGATAACCTGCCTTCAAACTGCAATCACCCACACGCAGCATGTAATTTACCAACCCCACGGGTTCATGTTTCTCTACATACCGATATGAGCTGTATAGTACAACTGTAACAAATATAAGGATTATGCCATCCGCAAAAAAAGGGGGAAAATCATAGCTAGACTTATTTGATCAATTGTTTC